GCAACTCTGCTTCCCCGACCTCGAACCAACCGATCGACGACCTACACTTCCGCCCGTATAGTGCTTCGTAAGGGGCCATCTAAATACTAGCTTGGAAGCTGTTATTATAAGTGAACTCAATAAGAGGTAGATGATCATCCCAACTTCCTTTAAAATCTAGCATGCTTGCATGTAACATATCCTCAACTGTCTGAATAGTACGCTCTGCCTGTCCATCAGTTTGCGGATGAAAAGCGGTGCTAAGATTTACCTGCGTGCCTAGACCCTTCTGAAAAGATTTCCAAAAATATGCTGTAAATTGAGCCCCTCGATCAGAGATAATAGATAATGGTACTCCATGAAGGCGAACAATCTCTCGAATGTAAAGCTTGGCATAATCCTCAACTGAATATGTCGTCTTGACTGGCAGGAAATGAGCAGATTTTGTAAGTCTATCAATAATTACCCAAATATAATCATACCTCCATGGAGTGCGAGGCAAACCAGTGATGAAGTCCATATTTATCAAGTCCCGTTTCCATAATGGAAGTTTAATATACTGAGTTAGGCCTCCAGGCCTCTGATGTTCGGCTTTAACTTGCTGGCAGTTGGGACATTGGGCTACCATCTCCACGATATTTTTTTTCATTCCATTCCACCAATAGATCTGTCGAAGGTCCCGATACATCTTTGTCGCTCCGGGGTGAACTGCATATCTAGAATAATGGGCCTCCGAAAGAATCTTGGCGCGGAGCTCTCCGACTGTCGGTACACATAATCGACCCTAATATCTAAGGACTCCATCTCCAGTTAGCTCAAATAAAGGTTGTCGCTACTGTGGAATACTTTCCGTCAGTTTTATAAGCTCAGGATCCTCGTGTTGTCGCTCTTTCACTTCAGTAACAAAAGAAGATTTTGTTGTATTCTGAATGAGAATGTGTCCACCCTCTGCGTCTACCAAACGCATCTGCAAATTAGCTAGCTGGCATAGATATTTGCTCATCTTGACCTTATCAGCTTTAACATGGCTTAGACTGCCCATGGACTTCCGGCTAAGGGCATCAGTAACAATATTAGCTTTGCCGGGATGATATAAAATATCAACATCATAGTCCTTTAGTAATTCTAGCCATCTTCTTTGTCGTAGGTTCCGCTCCATCTGTTTAAATAAATACTGAAGGCTCTGGTGGTCGGTGAAAACATCAATATGAACCACATATAGATAATGCCGCCAAATCTTTAGGGCGAAGACAACTGCGGCTAACTCAAGATCGTGCATAGGATAGTTTTATTCATGTTTCCGCAACTGTCTGGAGGCATACGTGATAACCTTACCATGCTGCATAAGAACACAACCTAGGCTAACTCTCGAGGCATCACAATATACAACATAACCCTCGGTGCCATCCGGAAGAGTCAAGACAGGTGCCGTCGTAAGCCTTTTCTTTAGCTCCTGAAAACTTTGTTCACATGCCTCAGTCCACTGAAACTTAGCTCCCTTATGTGTCAGTTTCGTCAATGGTGCAGAGATAGAGGAAAATCCCTCCACAAACCTTCGTTAATATCCTGTTAAGACTAAAAAGCTACGAACCTCTGTCGGATTCAAGGTCCTCGGCTAAGTCATCACAGCTTCAATCTTTTGGCCATCAACCTTGATACCATCACCGGTAATAACATGACCAAGAAAAGCTACAGAAGTTAGCCAAAATTCACATTTAGAGAATTTAGCATATAACATGTAGTCCTGGAGAGTCTACAATATAGCTCGCAAGTGGTCCGCTTGCTCGACTTCCGATCGTCAATATATCAGGATGTCATCAATAAATACAATCACAAATTCATCCAAGAATGGTTTGAATACCCGGTTCATAAGATCCCTAAAGGCTGTTGGGGCATTTGTAAGCCCGAAAGACATGACAAGGAATTCAAAATGGTCATACCTCATCCTAAATGTTGTTTTTGGGATATCAATATCCCTGACTCGTAGCTGATGATAACCGGATCACAAGTCGATCTTCGAAAAGCATTTGGCACCTTGTAACTGGTCGAACAAGTCATCAATCCATGGAAGAGGATACTTATTCTTGATAGTGACTTTATTTAGTTGCCTATAGTCAATACACATCCGCAAGGAGCCATATTTATTTCAAACAAAGAGTACCGGAGCACCCCATGAGGATGTACTTGGCCTAATAAAGCCTTTATTGATCAAGTCCTTCAGTTGTTACTTCAATTCCCTTAGCTCTGCAGGAGCCATTCTATAGGGAGGAATGGATATAGGCTGTGTATCAGGAAGCAAATCTATAGCGAAATCAATTTCCCTTTCGGGGGAATTCCTGGAAGCTCGTCAGGGAATACCGTCGGGAATTCATTCACAACAGGAACCGACTGAAGAGTCGCTAGCTCCTTATCTATATCCCTGACATGAACCAGATGGTATATATAGCCTTTAGCAATAAACTTCTGAGCCCTAAGATATGAAATAAACTTACCCCTGGGCGTGACTGCATTACCTTTCCATTCAAAGACAGGCTCACCAGGAAAATGAAATCGAACCACCTTTGCACGACAATCAATATTAGCATAACAAGTTGCCAACCAATCCATACCCATAATGACATCAAAGTCTAGCATAACCAATTCAACTAAATCAACAGAGGTTGGACGGTCATTAATTAACACTGTACAACCTCGATAGACATGATTAGCTACAATAGAGTCGCCAACTAGCATAGACACCTCAACTGACTGTGGAAACAACTTAGATCTCATGTCAAGCTTACCAGCAATAAATGGAGTAATATATGAAAATGTAGAACCGAGATCTATCAATGCATAAATGGCATGAGAATGTATTGTCAATATACCTGTGACAACATCTGGGGATGCCTCTGAATCTTGTCGGCATGTGAGTGCATAAAAGCGGTACTGGCCACCACTAGAACATGAGGTATCTCCTCCACCTCTACCCCTACCATGACCCTGAGTAGATTGTGGACCTGGTCAGGGAGCACGGACTGAGGGCGAAGAGGCTGTTGTGGATCCTGAAGGCTGAGCTGGTACACCTCTCCCTAACCCCGAGCACTGACTAATAAAATGTCCTGTCTGCCCACAATGATAACATGCACTCGAACCCTATCTACACTTCCTGGTGTGCAGCTTACCGCACTGAGTACATGGAGGAGTAGGTTGTCTCATTTGTGCGGAACGCTCCTATCGACGCCCCTCAAGCTGGCCTGAGCTCTACCCCGGTCCTAACTGAATATATCGATCAAACCGCTGGCCCTGCATCTGTGGTGGGGAACTACCTGCTGACCGAGGTGGATATCGATGGAGTGGGGGCTTAAAATCACCCTGTGTCTCCCTATAAGACCCCGTAGTATGAGCCCTCTTACTCTGCTCCCTATCCCTACGAGTATCATGAATCCGATGGGAAAAGTCCTATGTAGTCTGAGAGAAAGCATGTATGATGGAAATATCTACATCATCCTATAGGGATGCTGCCCTACAATCTCTAATCAGATGATCCCCCAAACTATCCACATAATGATGAACTCTAGCCCTCATGGTACGTACGATATCTGGTGCATACCTCGCCAAAGAATTAAACTTATGGCTATAATCCCTCACACTCATATCCCCCTGCTTCAGGTTAAGAAACTGGTCAAGACAGGCATCCCGAACCTCCCGTGGCAAATAATGGACTAAAAAGGCCTCAGAGAAGTCCTCCCACTCTGTTGGCGGAGCATTAGGTCCTCTAGATCTCTCCCATGCCTCATACCATAGGACGACTACATCACGTAGTCGAAAAGAAGCCAACTCCACAACCTCGGTGATGGAAGCATGCATCACCCTCAATACTCTATACATTTGGTCTATAAAGTCCTTGGGATCCTTAGTGGAACTGGATCCTGTAAATAATGGAGGGGCCAAGTGAAGAAACTCTCGTACCGTAGAGCTTCCTGTCCGATCTCTCTGGGTATCTGCTCCCGACTCTAGCTATCGCTCATGAATAGAAACCATCCTAGTCAGCAACTGAACTGCCTCCTTCATCCCATGCTCCCCAGTCTCTGATGGGGGAATAACAGGTACTGGAGGTCCCGTGTCTCTAGCTACTATAGGTACTAATGGAACTGGTGAGGCTGGGGGTACTGCATCTCCCGGGGCTCCAACACGTGCTGGGGAAGCTGAAACTAGGGGTACTGGAGACTCACTGTGTGCCTCGAAGGGAAATCTATCCCTCTGACCTGGTGGGGAACGACGGGTACCTTCCCCCAGATCCATACCTATCTCTCGATGTGCCATATCCTGAGTGTAGGTAGCCTGTTAGATAAGAAACACAAAGCACGATTTAGATTTCATATGTTCTTATAACTTCTCTCTATAGCACGATTTATTAATTGAAAGAAATGTAACCATTCCTAAATGCCTCAGAGCCTCCTGATTATAAGTGTGATGCACAACACACCCATAAGCAAGACTCTACTAGACACGGCTTGTGGACTACTTGGGATACGATCTGCTTTGATACCAAGTTTGTCACACCCCAAACTAGGGGAGGCACGACTAGCACTCGATACTGTATTCGATCGAGTTAGCCACTAAACATACTAGCTAACTAAACTGGGGGCCCAACAGATCGGATCTGAAATACTAAGCCTGGACCATTAAGGTCATGACTTAAATAACAATAAGCCATATAAACAAAGGTAGACGAGCCAAAATAATAAAGTACTAGCTGGTCGACGAGGCCGCAATTGGAGACATACATGCCTACACACATATATATACATGCAAAGCCTATGGGCTGGAAACTGAAAGCTACAAAAAGAAACCTAGAATACTGTGTCCACAATAGCCTCTAAGAGTGTTATAAGCACTGTCGAGATAAGGCCCCGACTATACCCAAACTGTATAACAAAAGTAACCATTCTATGAAAGCTCTAGGAAGAGGTGGAGCTAACCAACTCACAACTGAACCCCAAAATCCTAGCGGAGGGGTCGATCAGACTCCCTACCTTGACCTGCACGCACGAAACAAAAATGCAGTGTCCCCAGGCAACGGGACATCAGTACGAATAAAAATGTACTGGTATGTAAGGCAGACAGTAGAATCATACATAGCTGATGTAAAAAAAAGTAATAGAGATACCACCTGACACTGAAACTTTGATAGCCTTCATGGCCGACATCCGACTTTATAATAATCAAATATGCATGGTATGCTCGTGTAATCGTATGCCGTGAATACATATATATTGATGCAAATGCATGACATACCCAACCAAATGCTAGCAATGGCGGTCTATTCCGGTAGCTAACCGGTATCATAATGCCAACCTGTGGCCATCTGTACAATATATATAGTTTTTCGGGCAAATAGGCCCCTTACCTCC